GTTACCCAGGCTGGAGTGCAATGGCACGATCTCGGCTCACCGCAACCTCCGCCTCCTGGGTTCAGGCAATTCTCCTGCCTCAGCCTCCTGAGTAGCTGGGATTACAGGCATGCACCACCATGCCCAGCTAATTTTTTAGTAGAGACGGGGTTTCACCGTGTTGACCAGGATGGTCTCAATCTCTTGACCTCGTGATCCACCCACCTCGGCCTCCCAAAGTGCTGGGATTACAGGCTTGAGCCACCGCGCCCGGCCATAGCTGTTTAAAAACTTTTAAGTGACACTTAGGACAGAAATAGGAGCTGTCTGACCTTTATATCTGCTTCCCTCTGCCCCAGCCAAGTATGGTCATCAACTGGTTCAAGGGGTGTAGTCACACTGTGACTGATCCCCATGGTTGCCCAATTACAGTTGCTTCCCAAATTCTCAGTGCTTTACATTTCCCAGGGTACAAGGCAACTCCATGATGGGGGTGAAGTGAGAGAGCTAAGATGTGGGCTGGAGTATTTTTGTGGCCAATCCTAAAGAGATTTTTTCTCTTCTCCAAGTGGAAAAGGCTCCTGGTCTATTGTTTCCAGTCTGTTGCTCTGTGGAATAGTGGAATCCACAGAATGGAATCTGATAACCTTTCTTTCATAAATATGGACCCCATTATTCTTAATCAAGGGTTTGAGATTTATTTAATAAGTGGTTTGTTTTGGAATTCAAAACTACAATTTTGCTTTTTGATTATTATATCCACTTTGAATTCAAACAATCCATGTAGGGATTCAAATGACTTCTTTGTTCTGGGATCTGTGGGTGCTCACCTGAAGGAAAGTTCACACCATGGTCAAATAAATTAAAAAAAAAAAAAAAAAGCTGAGATCAGTACATTTTTAATATCTGGCACATAGGTTTTGGTTTGAAATGTTAAGATCATTTTTAAACTCTCCAAGTGATTCGGATTCACAGCCATGTTTGGAAATCCCTGATTTTCAGCACCTATTTTGTGTTCAGATCAGTGTCACTAGCTGAGTAACACTGGACATGTTATTGCTTTAAGCCTTAATTTTCTCATCTGTAAAATAAAATTATTTTATGTAACTTATACATAACATCTGTTATTAGAAGTGAATATGATAACATCTATAAAGCTTTTACCTCAATGCCTGAAACATTGCAAACACATAAGGTGAGCTGTGTTATTATAACCATGCACTAAAACATAATAAACATGAAATACTGGTCATCAGTGAATCGATTCAAGTACATAATATATCCCTGTCAACTTTCCAGGTTTATTTTTAGGATATCTTCCTAGATTATTTTGAGGATATATGCTATAGCACATTTTAAATTATTCAACTACCACATAAATATAAGGTCATATTTTAATTTTATTCTTTCATTCATTTGAGTGCTATTCTGGGCACTGGAGACACAGCAATGAGCAAGACACACAGGCCACTGACCACAGAGAAATTGCACACTAATAGGGGCAACAGACAATAGACCTAAATTATTTATAATGTGCTGTCATTAGTGATCATTTCAGCCAGGCAGGGAGGCATACAACTGTAAAGCTGGGGGCGGGTGGCATCTACTTTAGAGGGGATGGGCAAGATGGATCTTTTAAGGAAGACAACTGAGCAGAGATTAAAGAAAGTAAGGGAGTGAGTAATGGGAAATTCCAGGGGTGATGGGAGCTTTCCAGATGAAGGAACCACAGGGCAAGTAACTCTGAAGAACCATGTGAACCTACTTAAAAACATGGGCCGGGCACAGTGGCTCACACCTGTAATCTCAGCACTTTGGGAAGCCAAGATGGGCAGATCACGAGGTCAGTAGATCGAGACCATCCTGGCCAACATGGTGAAACCCTGTCTCTACAAAAAATGCAAAAACATTAGCTGGGCATGGTGGTGCACGCCTGTAGTTCCAGCTACATGGGAGGCTGAGGCAGGAGAATTGCTTGAACCCAGGAGGCGGAGATTGCAGTGAGCTGAGATCGCGCCACTGCAGGGCCCACTGAGCAAGAGCAGGTAAGAGAGAGGCCATGCACCACACTGTGGGACACGGTTAAAAAAAAAAGAAACTTTCCTAAGAGCGCAAGAAAACCATTTAGGGGTCTTCATAACAAGTCAAATAATCTGATTTACATTTGTGTTGTAGAAAAATATACATAACATAAAATTTACCATGTTAACCACTTTAAGTGTACGATTCAGTAGCATTAAGTAAGGTCACAACGTGAGGCAATCAACTTTATTATTTTCAGAATATTTTCACTATTCCAAACAGAAGCTCAGATCCACTGAACACTAACTCCCCAGCCTTCCCTCCCTTCTCACTGGTTACCACAAATCTGCTTTCTAGCTCTATGAATTTGCCTATTCTAAACACCCCAGTTAAGTGAAAACAGTCAATATCTGTCCTTTTCTGCCTGACTTAGCACAATGTTTCAAGTTTTACCTATGTTACATCTTGAATCAGAGTTTCAATTTATATTTTTAAAAGATGATTTTTGCTGTTTCTGTTATGCTAAGAACCCATAGTACAAGAGGAAAAACAGAGAGAATGAGACAGAATGCTGTAACCTGGTGAGAGATGATAGAGGTTTGGTTCAGAATAACACCAGCAGCAATGATGAGTAAGGACCAGATTTGGGATCTATCTACCTACCTATGTATCTACCCACCCTCTCTCTCCCTGTCCCTCTCTCTCTCTGTCCCTCTCTATCCCCCCACTTCTTGGTGGGTGGGTGGGTGGGTGTGTGTGTGTGTGTGTGTGTGTGTCTGTGTCTTGCATGCCTAACAGTAGCATAGTGCATCTGGCCCAGGCTATAGCCAAAGTTGTGATTGATTTTCAGTGAACTTCCTCCACCTTGTGCTGCTGTACCAGCCCCTCAGGCTGAAACCACAGACATCTCTAACCACCTGCCAAGCCCAAGGAGCAAGTATTCATGCAGTTTTTTAAATGTTATCAGCAAGAGCACCCACTTTGGAAAAGGTATGGAATCTTCTAAGATGGCTGCTTTGCAGAACAATACTCAGCTGGATGTTTGATTCAGAGTTTTGTTTAAAACACCAGCCTCCTTTCTTTATCTAGATACAAACCCTTTTTCTGTTCACCTCCCAATAAGCATTTCCTAATTCACTTCAACGTCTGGCATTCTGACAATCATTGTGAGTAGTTAAAAACTGTAACACATGGTCTTTTCCCTTTAATCTAGTTTGGGGTATAAGGCATGAACAGTATGAGACAATGAGAAAATAATTTATGACCAATTTAATATTAAACACAGAACACTGAATTATAAACCAGGAGACCCTCTACCAAAGTGTGGTTAAAGTAACAGTATGTTGCAATCAATTATTCAGTTTCATTCAAAGTAAACTCCATTTTGACAGATTATATTTTCTAAAGATGACTGCAGCAATACCTCCTATCCCATGGGCTCTTTGAGAATTCACAATGACTATCCAGAGGTGGTATTTACACCCCTGTCCTTTATCCTGGGCAGGCATGAGACTGTCTCAACCAATAAGTAGGACAGAGTGGTACTATGTGAATTCTGAAGCAAAGTCATAAAAGTATCATGTATTTTGGTCTTGTTTCCCTAGGATGTTTCCTTTTGGAAAGAGGTTATGAAGAAGCCCAAGCAGCCTGTAGAGGGGCCCACATAGAAAGAAGCGAGGCTCCTACTCACCAAGCCCCCAGCCCCCAGCCAGGAACCCCCAGTCCTGGCTGAGCTTCCAGCTAGCAGCCAGCACCACTTTACACTGATGGATGTGAGTGATCCCCCTTTGAAGCGGACCCTCTCACCCCCTACTGCAACACCACTACTGACATTGGACCCACCTCTCTGAGCCATGTCCAAACTACAGATTTGTGAGCAAAATTAATGTCTTTTTAAACCCACTACATTTTGGCTAGTCTGTTTCTCAGCAATAGGTCACTAGAGCACCCCCCTCCCCACCCCATGACAAACTTCACTTTTACTTGTATTAAACTAGGAGCTCTTAAATAGGAGAAAAGGGCCAGGCGTGGTGGCTCACACCTGTAATCCTAGAACTTTGGGAGGCTGAGGGGGGCAGATCAAGAGGTCAGGAGTTCGAGAACAGCCTGACCAGCATGGTGAAACCCTGTCTCTACTAAAAATACAAAAATTAACTAGGCGTGGTGGCGTGCCTCTGTAATCCCAATTACTCAGGAGGCTGAGGCAAAAGAATCACTTGAACCCAGGAGGCACGGGCTGCAGTGAGCCGAGATCATGCCACTGCACTCCAGTTTGGGTGACAGAACAAGATTTCATCTCAAAAAAAAAAGGGAGAGAAAAGGATGGAGTTACATTAGCATTTTGGAAAATGAACATAACCCACAACCTGTCTTAATTAGGCCCAATTTCACTAACAGTAATTGTTAGCAGTGTGCCCTTTATAGTTATTCATAAACATAAAATGATTCTACAAATACTATGTAACAAAATTAGCTTGCAGATCCAGAAGATGCCTCTATAGTTTTGTCAAAATCTGAGTGTTCTTGAATGTTAATAATATCCATGCTCCTGAACAAAAAGAATAGATTTTTTTGTGCCAAAAGGGTTTGGAGAAGGGGAAAATGAATGAGAGTTGGGGTAGGAAGACATCCTTGGACCTTTGGTGACTGTTGAAGGAAGAGTCGCAGTGTATACCAAGTGAGGGACATAATACACACAGACACATACCACATGGTGGGATACAGGCTCAGTTTCTTTTACAGACCAGTTTAACTAAAACAGAAGAGAGATCTTAAGAAGTGAATGAAAAGGTGATGCCAACTTGCTGACAAAGCTACAATGTAAAATCCTTTAGTAGTGGTTTTAAATCTACATGGCAGCTTCCAGTAATTGCTGACAATTTGCCTATTGTATTTACATACATTAACGAGGAATCCAAATAAATCTCCTTTTCATGAATTCTCCACTGTCTCTGAGACAAGCAACAGAACACATTTCATTAAAAGGAAGTTAACTTTATTTTTCTCAAATAGCTCCTCAGAAGTTAAAATACATATATATCTTGGTTATGCTGCTTCTTCCTCAAATAAATTCAATGTGTCTATAAGACAAAGAGATGAATGGTATAAATTAAATTCTCAGTTGTCTCGGTATTTATTTATCCTAATAGCTTCAGTAAAAACCATTTGACAACTGTACATGTTAGCTGATAGGCAGTTTCAAAATTACAGGAATGTAGTCCTCATTTAGGTAAAGTCAACCTACCTCTGTCTTCGATCACCATTTCAAAATCCTATTCCCATGCTTTAGTATTTACATATTCATTAATTCACCCATTAACCAATATGTTCTAAGCACTCTTCCAGTCTCTAATGTCTGTGGCTACAGAGTCTCCAGGACTACTTTCAGGTACTCAAGTCTCTGAAACAATGATTTGTTCAACTCTGGAAACAGATAGCACTTCCCAAGGTCATTGAGGTACCCTGATAAATAGCTCTCCTCTTACTGTACAAATTCTAAATCAAATAAGATCAATATGTTGCAAAATATCACTCAGATAAAACTGAGTTGGTGGATGTCATTTATGTCTGTGAGCAAGCGACTTTCCCACAAACTGAATCCCGGAAATCAACAGACATAACCTGTGTTAAACCAGAGATGGCTTCCTGTTCCTGACCCTCAAATTGGCAGAGCCTCTCTGTAGGGGAATGTGCTCCTTGCTAACAAGAAGGAAGCAGAAGGACTAGAGCTATATATGCCCATTTCTCTCTTCAGATTCCCAAACAGAGTAAGAATGACAAGATAGGTCATAAGTCTTACCGCAAGCGAATTGCTTGCACACAGAGCAGGAGTGGGCAAATTATGGTCTACTTTGGGACATAAAATGGGTCATTTTATGAAAAATTTCGCCCATTACATTTTTTGTACAGCCCACAAACCAAGAATGGTTTTTATGTTTTTGAATGGTTAAAAAAAATCAAAAGAAGAGTATTTCATGACACACGAACATTATATGAAATTCAAATTCCAGTGCACACAAATAAAGTTTTATGAGAACACAGCCATACTCATTTGTTTACATGTTGTTTATGGCTACTTTCTCACTCCAATGGCTTAGATAAGTAGTTGTGAAAAAGACTGTATGGCCCACAAACCCTAAAATATATGCTATTTGACCCTTTACAGAAAAAGTTTGCTTACACCTACATAAAAGAAACATTTTTTTCTTTTGAGGAAGCATTCTCCCTGGGACTATTCTAGAGACAGAATGTCCTTTTATCATTTAGTCTTTATTGTAGGACCACCATTCTCTCAGTTCCCTATCCTTCTCCCTCCCTCAAAACCAGGCAGGAATTTTATGACATTCCTTAACCCCTTATTTAATTAATTATAATTTGTTTTCTGTTTATTTGTTCTTTAAAAAGTCTTCAAATCATTCCAAGATCTCTACAACAATTTTCCAATTAGTTTTCTTTTTATTTATTTTTTTCTTTTTTGAGACAGGATCTCACTCTAGCCCAGATTGGAGTGCAGCGATGGGATCACAAATCGCCTCAGGCTCGAAATCCTGGGCTTAAGATATCCTGCTATCTCAGCCTCCCACTATTAACTTCTTCTCATACCTCTATAGTCCTTTAGAATTGAAAATAACTTTAGAGAGTTTCTGTTCAATCCCCTCATTAGCAAAATGAGGAAACTGTTACTTTGTGAGCCAAATCACTTTCCCCAATTTGCAAATCTAATTTTTGATCGACTAGAACTAGACTCTCTCCCAAAACATAACTCAGTGATTCCTCTGTCATACTCATAGCATACTCTCTCTATGTTGTACTCATTATGAAATTTTCAGATTCCCATTGATCAAGTCAAATTTATAATCTAGGCTGTGAATCAGAGAACTATAGACTGTGGGACAAACTTTGCTGTTTTTGCAAATAAAGTTTTATTGGAACACAACCACAATCATTTACTTATCTATGGCTGCTTTTGCACTATAGTGACAGAGTTGAGTAGCTGCACCACAAACTGCATGGTTCACAAAGCCTAAAATATTGACTATCCAGTTCTTTCCATAAAAACTTTGCTTTTCTGATCTACAGCCCTAACCTAGACCACCCAAAGTATTCTCATTCCTTATCGCTTTCTATAGCACTTATGGCTTGTTTTCTATATCTGCTCTTAATTTCTATAATAATGAAACTTCTGATTATTTTAACCAAGCACATGGCAGACTGAACTAAAGACATTGCTCAGCTTCCTTTGTAACTTGGTGTGGTCAGTGGAATAAATGGGATGTCAATGGACTTGTGCATGCAATTTCTAGGAAGTGTCCTTAAAGGAAGAAAGATAGTTTACTCTTCCTTTTTGTATCCTTCTTTCTAGCTAGACTGATAACAACATAACTGAAAAGTCATCTCACACATGGATGATCTTGGACCTAGAATTAATATATGTTAGAGCAACAAGATGGAAAGATCCTGGATCCTTGACATCAGAGTTTTTCTACCATCCTCAGACTACTTACGTCTGGATGTTTATATGAGCAAGAAATACAATTCTCTGTTAAACAAACCCCTGCCAATTAGGATTTTTCTGTCTGTACTTAATTCTAAGTGATGCACTTATAATAGAAATTTTTCTTCCAGACAGGCCAGTACCTTTCTAGTTTGCTGAATTAGCCATGCTTTTTCTCACACCTCCATTCTTTTGCTCATGCTGCTAGCTCATGCTGGATTGCCCACTCTTTCCTCCTCCATTTGGCTACATTTTACGAATTCTTCAAAGCAGTTGAAGTTCTATCTCCACACTGAAGCACTTCACTTCTCTTTTCCCATTTAGAAGTCAGCACAATATGTCTGGACAACTGAGATTGCACACTGTATTATATTCTTTTAGTTATGTGTTTTGGTATTTTATGCCCAATGATAATGTAGACTTGTACGGGATTAGGATCATTTATTTTTGTTTCTGGTGCCCCAATGCTATAGTTAACTACAAAATATTTGTTTAATTTACTTTAATAAATTTGGGCAAAAGTAAGCCAAACATGGCCATGAGTTCACAGGCTCTCATACTTTAAACTCAGATATGTTTTTGACGCCTGAATCATAATGTGTAAATCAACCAATGGGAGATTTGTCCCAGGTGAGGTCATTCAAAATGGGATATGATATACATTTAGCCAAAAAAATTATGTGCTGTCTAGTAAAGCCACCATGAGATAATTCATACTAGTGTCACGTATGCTAAATTGGACAAATGTGCCACATAATCTGTTTTAGTCCATTCCTGCTGCTAAAACAAAATACCATACACTGGGTAATTTATAAATAATAGAAATGTATTTCTCACAATTCTAGAGGCTCGGGAGTCCTAGATCAAGGTACCAGTAGATTCGGTGTCTGGTGAAGGCGACTGTCTTTTTTTTAACTTTTCTTTTTTAAAAATTTTTCCATAAGTTATTGTGGTACAGGTAGTTTTTGGTTACATGAGTAAGTTCTTGCGTGGTGATTTGTGAGATTTTGGTACACCCGTCACCCAAGCACTATACACTGCACCGTATTTGTAGTCTTTTTTCCCTCAACCCACTCCCACTCTTCCCCCGAAGTCCCCAAAGTCCATTGTATCATTCTTAAGCCTTTGTGTCCTCATAGGTTAGCTCTTACATATTAGTAAGAACATTGATTGACGTTTGGTTTTCCATTTCTGAGTTACGTCACTTAGAATAATAGTCTCCAGTATCATCCAGGTCACTGCAAATGCTGTTAATTCATTTCCTTTTATGGCTGCATAGCATTCCTTCATACACATATATACTACAGTTTCTTTATCCACTCATTGATTGATGGGCATTTGGGTTGGTTTCACAATTTTGCAACTGTCAATTGTGCTGCTATAAACATGTATGCGCAAGTATCTTTTTTGAACGACTTCTTTTCTTCTGGGAAAAGATATCCAGTAGTGGGATTGCTGGATCAAATGGTAGTTCTACTTTTAGTTCTTTAAGGAAACTCCACACTGTTTTCCATAGTGGCTGTACTAGTTTACATTCCTATCAGCAGTGTAGAAGTGTTCCCTGTTCACTGCATCCATGCCAACATCTGTTTTTTGATTATTTGATTATGGCCATTCTTGCAGGAGGAAGATAGTATCACATTGTGGTTTGGATTTGCATTTCCCTGAAAGTGAAGGTTACTTTGTTTCCACAATGGCCACATTCTCTGGAGGGGGCAAAGCCTGTGTCCTCACCTAGCAGAAGGAATGGAACGGCAAAAGGTATAGGGCACTTCCTTTAATCTCTTTTATATGAGTACTGATTCACTTATGAATGCAGAACTTTTATGACTTAATCACTTCACTTTCCAAAAACACCCCACCTTTTAATACTATCACATTGGGTTCCAAGGTATGGTATTTGAAAGGGCACATACATTCAAACCATAGCACTCTCATTGCAGTAACTGGATATAATTCCACATTTAGTTTTCTCCTTTATGAGATGCTTTGTAGCCCTGGATGCCAGCCAGTCATACATAATATTAGACAGATAAATTTAAGCTAAGGTCAAAAGCTAGTAAGATACTGCTTATACTTGTCCCAGTTCATGAAGCAAAGAGAAACATAATGGATTGTCAAGAGCTTGAATGTCAATGCTCAAACATTTCTTAAATCTACATCCAAGCAGTTTGCCCCCTGTGGAACTGTACATCTTGTTTATCTACAAGGCATATGGCCATTTGTATAAGCCCAGCCTGCTGTTCTTAAATGGTGATGTGTAGTCTGTCTATTCACATTAGCTTATGGCAGAGTTCTTAGAACATTCTTACAAATTAATTGATTGCAGTGTCAGCCAAAAGCCTACCTAGAAACAAGTGCCAGGGGCTGCTGAAGAGAAAATTGAGTTAGAGTCATATAAGCACTGATTTTTTTTTTTAGTGCATGAAGATTGCTTGCCCCCAGTTCTTTCCACTTGCAATTTGAGGTAGCTCTATGACCAAACTCCCTTGGGAGGGCAGACAGTTGCCTATCTGCAGAGGAAAATGAGATCATAGAAGAGAAACTTGTCAGATGTCATGGGAACAGAGGGCGCTCTTGGGTTTT